GCTCCTGCCGTGATACCCGATTAAGCTGTACAGCATCCCCTTTACGGACGCTTTAGTGCAATGTGGGCTACTTGTATTGAAGCCTGGTAGTCTTCATTAGTCGTCCCTTCCAGCATGCGGGCTCTTAGCGTAATCAGAACCTGGCGTAAGCGCCCTTTAAGCCGTGAAACCCCTCGGTGGACGCTATTTGGCAGCGACTCGTCATAGCAGCGACAACGCCGTGCCCAGATCGCTTGATGCGTATGGACCACCTACAGCTTCCAATGTGCCTGTAAGACCGTATTTACCCATCCGTAAATTATGTAAAGCCTGTCCAGCGGAAGTGATCCGTGCAATTACATTAAGGAACCCCAGAACCCAGGAGGTACCTCTGGTAGTTGCAAGCTAAAAACCGAAGTAGGATCCTGGCGGGTGGTCCGAAGTCCTAGAGATTCCCAGGGCTCGAGGAAGGTATTCCATAAAGGCCGCGTGGCTCGGCACTTCCACCAGATGTGGCCAATCGTTATGCGCTACTCTTGGCAGTCGGGAAGTACACATCCGTTGATACCTCTCCTTGTCTCCCACGTGCTGAAAGCCTGAAGCTTTAACCTGTAGAGAAGTTGGGTGGCCCACACAGTACACCCTTCGATTCGATAGATATCGTTCCATGCTATAGTGGAAAGCGCCGTACCGATCTAGCTATTTTCTGCTACCCACTCTCTACCTCTGATATAGATCTCTCGAAGTCCACTACTTCGTTTCAAGTTCAGGCTACGCCTCTTGAGAATACCACGGGTAACTTTGTTCCCACCCTTTTGCGCCCTTATGCAAACGTCTCGATCAAAAGTAGGGTGAGAGCACAAACGAAGCAACAAATGAGAATCTCAAATGTAATCCTGTGTGGCCGTATAAGCTCCTCTCGGGAAGCCACCTTAATCGTACTCAATTGAGAGGTAGAGGCAATGCCTAAGATCAACGTAATTCACCCGTCATCGTCTGACTCATGCCCAACCTTGAGCGTAAATGGGTGATCCGACGGAAAGCAGCAGATAGTGACGGAAGCAGGGTCCCGATGATCAAAGATCAGTTCTGGAAAGTTTGTCAGGAGCGCGACAATAAATCCGTAAATACCCGGCTTATTATGCGCAGTCGGGCAAACGAATGTAAGCGCAGTCCGGCTTGGCATCTCCCAGCATATAAAATCGCCTAGTACGGTGTTCTTGGGGCAGAAAATTCCAGCTCTGTCTTGGTAAAGCGTGATCCATCCTTTTTGATAAGACCGCACGTTGAAGGATATACCATAGGTATTTAGGCTGGATGTAGGTCTTCATAGGTAGACTTAAGAAATACCCAGAGTGGTCGTAGGCCATCTCGAAGCATCATCGTGGAGTCTATGGTGCAGCATCCGTCCTCTCTTCGTAATATATCAGGCAGTAATCGCTCGACGGCCGGGTATGCAGATTGAATGGCTTCCGTAAAACTTTGTTCAGGAGATGATGCGCCGTGGGCTTCGAGAATCCGACGCCCTGCAGTCCAAATAGTTTCCCCGTGCTTGAAACCCGCCTTCATATGTCTCGCGTGTCCGAGCGTGATCCACACATTGTTAGCCTGACACGTATACCCTTTAGTAAGTAGACATTATCCGAGAAGCATCTTGCTTCCGAACGGATCAACGCTCCACTTTTTCACTGCTAATCCTGCCATGGCCAACAACTCAGCACGTAGGTCAGGAATGGCCATTGCGCCCTCTGATCGTGTCAAACACGCGATTGACTCTCGTAGCCACGTCGTACACCTTCCGTCAAGCTCTCCAAAGTGCCCATGCCAGATGCAATTCTTTATAAATTTCTGAAAGAGAACCACAGTTAAAGTATGAGGCCAAGCGTGTCGAGCTACATACAAAAGCTTTGATAGAATGAACGCTCCGGCTACGCGCGCCCGTTAGTCGACTGTTAATGATTTCTAACTGGCCAAGCGAAGACTTACCCGTAGTTGTTTCTCCGCAAGTACCCAAGTTCTAGTGGTGTCATCAGTGCCCCCAACCTGTATTCCAAGGTATCGGCAGTGGGCCACCAAATGTAGGAGTGATAAGTCCGGACTCATTTAATGAATCTCGGGGAAAAGCCGGCCTCATGCAATGCGATGGCCGTTGTTTTGGAGACATTCAGCTTTAGTCCAGAGGCTGCTCCATAATCAGCGACTACCGCAAGTGCTTTACTGATGTCCTCTGGATAATTCAAATAGACCGCCGTGTCGTCCGCGTAACCTGCGATGCGTAGGCCCAAATGCCTCTGGGGGTTGGTAAGATGGATTCCAGCGGTCACAGAAGGGCCATCTAACTTTTGGTAGAGAGGCTCGAGAGCTAAACTGAAGAGAAGAGGGTCGAGCGGGCATCCCTGCCGTATACCTCTCGTTATGCGCATAGATCGCGACCTTTCTCCGTTGGCTAAAAGCGTGCCGTAGTACCTTCATGCAGCAATGATATGACGTGCACCGGGTGGCAAAGATAACCATGCCGACGAAGTACCGCAAGCAAAAAGTCTCTATCGAGAAAGGCTTAAGTCTTCGCAAATTCCAGCCGCAAAGCCAGCGCATTGCGGTGATTCTCTGTTCCGTTAGCAGCTTGTTTGGCCACCGAGAAAAAATCTAGTGTCATTTGAATATTCCTATGGGGGACAAAACCTTGTTAGTTTGGGTAAATTCGGTGGGGAAGAGTGGTACGCACCGCCGTCGCCAAAATTCGCGTGAAAAGCTCGTAATCAGTGTTAAGCAAGGAGAGTGAGCGGTAATTTAATGGGTTACTCCTATCCCCTTGCTTTTTGATACAAAATGTATCAGTCTCAAGAAACGTGTCAGGGTACACCTTGGTATTGTACCACATGCGAAAAAGTTTTGTCATCAACGGATCATCCCTTATAAAAAATGGAGATACCAGTCGTTGCCAAGTCTGTCTGGACCACAAGCCTTCCCCGTTTTGCACGTTTTAAAGGCTTCTAAGACAAGGTTTTCCTGAATGAAGGTACCTGGATGAAACGTGTATTCCGTATCATCAGGTAAAGCCTACATCCAATGCAATACTCTACGCCTGTTGTTCTGCCGACCATCCTGTTCAAAGATAGGGGCCCAAGCTTCTGCTAGAGTATTTGCCTTGTCGTGCGTCTATCTGATCGGATGACCATCACGAGGATTCAGCGACGGAATCACGTTATCTGCAAATTTGCAGGAGATTCGGTTGAAAAAGGCCTTCGTTGTTTGACCCCCCCCACCAAGGTAGGACCGGAACAGTCGCCGCTGCTTTAATCGAAGCCAATTCCGCTTAGTCTCGTAAATGACATGAAAACGATGTGTCGCTCCCGCTTGGGGGGAGACCGAATGATTCGGTATACAACCTCCAGACTGCGAAGCTGTGCAGCAGTCGAGCAACCGCTCGTATCGGCAATATAGGCGCTTGAGTTTTTTCCGGTAAGTGTTTGTCAGACTCTTGAGAGATGCCTTCTTTTGTGCTAGTATGCCACTTGTCATCGCAGTTTTCATTGTATCCCACCTCTGTGCTGCCTCGTGTGCCGACATTTTCCCAGAATCAATATCCGCCGTGAAATTACTTAGCAAGTCCGTCACATTTCTGTCAACTCGAGCTTGAACGTACCGTGGAACTGGGAAAACACGCTATGACTTTTTGATGTGCAACGGGTTGACTAGGCTTTGAATGTGAAGCAGTACTCCTTTATGTTCAAAGAATAGACCTTCTAGGTCCACCTCTGTGTCTACTGCCCATAGGCGAGCGATGTCGTTCACGTACCAGCGGTCGAGCCGACTGGTAGCCGCTTGGTTGTTCTGCCCCTGGATACGCGTTAGTGTGAAGCCGGGTCCTAGAGGCATGTATTCCAGGTGAGTCCAGATCATTGGGCATTTGCACCGTTGCCGTATCGTTAAGTCGCTATCGACTTAATAGCGTGGTCAGTGCAGGAGAACATGTCTTTCAGCAGTGTCGCCGAGCGAGCGGTCAAGGAGAGGATGCTAGGTACAGTTGAAGTCCCCGTCCACGTATTTATTATCGTTGGCTGAAATACGAATGCTCGCAAGGGTAGTATAGAAGTCTCTCCGAGATCGGCGCTCCGTAGGGGCATACACGTTCACCACGAGGGCTAAAGTTTCCTTTTATACTTCCTTCAAGGGCCATGAAGTGTGGTGACCACCGATCGGGTGCAAACGGGGACAAGTTGTGGACTCCGGAGCGAGGATGTATCAGTACACCCACACCCGCAGACCGTGATGATGCCGAAGACCAGTGAGACAGATGTGGGCGTTCCGGGCCGACCATATAGCCCCACTGCGCTGCATAAAGCTTGGTAGTAGATGAAATGTCATCAGTAACTACATGTGTTTTTTGTAGAAATGCGAGATTAAATTTCCCTCTGGAATGCAATCTTTTAAACGATGCAATCCAGTCGCTTCGATCGCCTTCTGTCTAGCAAAAACCCCCTCACGTTTTGGGTGAGCAAGCCAAAGGTCTAATCCTGTCGATGAAGAGATATCGTCGGCTTGGAAAGTCGAGAATAATTACGCTCTTTTTCATTTCTGCGTCTAACAGCACGTCTTGCATTCCCATGGGCGTCGAATTCACACTGCAGTGTTTGGCTTCTTTCCAATTGGATTTGTACTGCGTAATCACATATCGTTGTGGTTGCTCAGGCCCACTCTGATCGACCTCGGTTGGGACTATTTTATTTGAAGTGGCGGGGAGACACCGCAATCGAATGCTGCTGCATCTACATCCTCGGCCCTAAGGGTAAAATTGTGGACCTGCTCCAGGATGAGTGTGAGATAATATCCTCCCAGATCTGAGCAATATCAGGGAAGCTGTTGTACCAAATGAACCGTGAAGCTGTTGTAGATCGCCACATTGACGCCCGACGCCATTCTTAAACTGTGTATGGAAGGATGTGCAGTATATTCCAGTGGCCTAACTGCATCCCAGTAGGGAATTCTCGTTGGAGCGAGCTGTCTGAATATTTGCAGAGCTATTCCCAGCTAGAATCGCTTTTCGCTAGCATTTGGGCTTCCTGAGGTGAAGCACTCTCGCAAGAACTTAGCCAGTCACGACAGTGAGTCCTTGCCCTGTCGTCACTTTCTTCGTCATCAGCCACGCGTCGCAGACTTGTGATTTGCTGTCGATAAGCCTCTACTGCACCCCATTCCATTAACTGTTCAATCGGAATCTGTTGCGCCGCCAGCTCTGGAAAAGGCAAAACGGCCATCACATAACGAAGCGCTTCTTTATGTTTCGCGAACCACGGAAAGTAATCAGCCCATGTACCATTACCTGGTTCCTGCGCCGCGATGGAGAAGATCTGGCCGTGCGTCTGCGTGTAGCCGTTGAGCAAGAATTCGATCCGAAGCCGAAAGATTGTCCATGGACGGCGTCGCAAGAATCCTGTTGTGCACCGAGGAGTGTACGGTGTGTGGATGTTCTGGGTTATACCGAGGTGGCCACAGCAGCTCGTCAGGATCAGCAACGTCAGTCCCATTCGACTTACTGGAATAGATATCGAGTCCCATATCTTCAAGGATAGCCACTTCTTCGGCCCTCACTATCTCAGCTAGCGAATCGGGGTCGTATGCACTTGCGTCAAGCACCGGTAGCCCCACAGCGCGATGTGCTGTATCAAGTCGCGTGCGCGTCGCCGGTCCAAGACGTGCGTGCCACTCGTAAAACAACGAGCCGTGTTGGACACCATAATATTGACTATCTTGAAGCCTGAAGATCAACATGAGAGGAACCACTTAGAGAACCATACATGCATCCAGCACATCACTCATTATCCCAACCTGGATATAAAAAATTACTTCGTTTCATGTGAATCGCCATTGTACATAGTAAAATTGTGGAAGGAGTATTGGTGAGCGCTTATGATATCATCCCTTTCTACCGTCCAAGCATAAATCGGTTCGCGTACATAAATAGCCAGCGCCCTTAGTAGGGTAGTCCCGGGCCACAACTTGCTGGGGATAGTATTGGCTACCGACATATCCCTGAGACCCGCATAGTGAGCATACAAGGCCACCGTCGCCGCCTCCTCTGTGGTTGGAGCTATCAAAGCTGGGTACAGCTGGCCCAGCTCCTACATGGGGTCGATCAATTTGACCTGAAAATCGTAACGTAGGTTGGCTAGAATGATATCAGTCAGCTGTCACTTGATGTCGTTAATCTTACCTGTTTGATCCATACCTGGTTAAAAGTGCGGGCAGCAATATTGGTGGTCGTCGCGTAAAATGCGTAAAAGACCCCGTGGCCATTAGTAAGGACGGGAACCTGCTGGCCTTGTAGCTTGTCTAGCCTCATGGCTATCGATGAGATCTGGTGTGATCGGTCGAAAGACCCCGAAGACGCCATTGTATGGGAAGAGGCAAAACCATCGACTCCATTACGCTGGTATGTGGATGACTGGTGGTCATCGGCACCCCATACTCCCAACGCATCCACGTCCGTATGCGTGGTGGGAGAGGGTAGAGAGCCGCCACGAGCACTAGCCCCTCCTGATGCGCCCTCGCCTGCATTAACGAATCGGTATCCGCCACAGCCGGACGATCTTTATGATCCTCTCCCATTTCTTCGTCTGAAAGAGTCGCTGACTGAGCTAAGTACGTTAATTGTTCCGGCTCATTGGTAAAGGACGTAGCGCAATAATCATCCCCAGCATGTTCGTCTCCAAATGAATCGGCGTCATCCGAGCTGTCCGCCGGCTCGTCATAAATGCTGCGATGAGCGGCAAAACTTCTCTGCTATTAATTAATGACAGTTGATCGCGGTGCAGCCGAGGGGGGGGGGGTGCTGGTATTTGTGGTCGTGCTCCTCTAGACTAGAGATGCTACGTTGCCGCTGAGCAGACGCTAAGTTCACTCTCAAAGAAGACACCTGTGCAGTAGCCGGTTTTACGTCATGTTGCTTTGCCTCGGCTGCCCCCTCGTGGCGCCGTAGCTGCCTGAATACTGTCCGCGTGTCTCCCTCGTGTATGGACAGTCCGAAGCGAACCACCCGCGTTTTGTGGGGAGGTTACATCAAAGTGCGGTGCAATCTAGACGCTGTTCCTAGCTTGGGTTTGTCGACGCACTACTGACCAATTTGTGGGGTCCGCCGTGTTTTTAATCATGTCATTTTGTTGAGTAGCTTGTCGAGTCGGTATTGGCGTGTCCTCCGTCATAGGTATAGGTGCGCGATCGAGCGCCTGTACTCCATCTTCAGTACTTTGGCCACTGAGGACCGTGGTGAGGGAAGCTAGCTTAGTATCCAGAGATGTAACAGTAGTACAATTGCGAAAGGATGCTCCTGGTACCTCCGTCGTTGGGCGATTATCCACCCGCTGTCTACCCGCGCGTGTGTAGGGAGTCGTCCTACTGGTACTCTGCACCGGTGGCCGAGATGCAACGGGTTGTAGCAGTGGTGGCAAGGAGCCGTGGATACTCTTTGGAAGTAATGCACAATGACATTGTGCCGTCCAAGTAGTATTGAAGTCACATTTTGCAATAGTTCTGGGCAGGCATTTTAATTAAATATGACCGTCCAAAAATCATTGTCAGAATCCGCGGGCCACCTTTGCCTGAGGACCGTATGTCAAGGATCGGTCCACCTGCGATGTGAGTAAAGGCTGCGGGAAGATGGACCGCATCCAGTCTTTTTGTACCTAGGATTCGGATATCATATTATAGTGCCATCTGTGGTGCTGTAGTCGTTCCAGGTTCTCTGTTGACTGCCCACCTCTGTGTGACTGGGCAACCGCGCAGCTTGAGTTCCTTGTTCGCCCACCTGCCAGCCGACCAGCCGGACATAAATGTCAAAATCAGAGTATGCTGTCCGTCCAAATCGACGCGTTGTGCATCTCTCTCGAACTGTTTCATCTCTGCTTTTAGTGAGTCCGAACCAGAATTCGAGTAAACACACTCACGCAATAGCGACCGGCGGGGTAGCTTCTTTCCCCGTTTAGCTCGCGCAGGCACATCTGCGATAAGAGTCCCTTCCACAACCGATTATGGTAAGTGATCATCGCAGCCCTCTGTAAACTTGGCGTAGTGCACGTCAAAAAGTGGTGGGGGCCTGGTAGCTCCAACTGTTGGTCCACATACGCTTGAAGCGCAGCCTTTCATCATCGTTCATAGGGCGCAATGCGTTGTCGTCGTGCAATGGGTATTCTGCTGTCGCTATCTTAAAGATATAAAGAAGCCACTGCTGGTCCGCAGTCGAGACCTCACTTGGCTCAGGCATAGCCCATCAGGTCTACCCGCATCCCATTCCGTCCAAGCTACGGTCAAAGAGGGAAATTGAAATTCTTCACTATATGTGCTACTACACATTCCAACGACGTTGCGTGCTGAAAGTACATCCTCGGTGCTGTCGTGTGGACCTGCATCCCCATCTGCTATGTAAATCTTTAAGGCTCTAGGGTCTGATTCGGTCGTAAATCCGGCGGGGGATTTGGTGGTCGAGATGGGTGACCAGCCTCCGTAGAGCCGTCGCCTCCACTCATCAGTGGGGCTAAAAGGGTACTTTAGTATGAAAATTTATTTACAAATCGCAATCGCTGTGCAGCCGCAAATTGGAAAGTGGCTTGAACTCTTCGAAACGATTATCTTAGGGTACGACGGGAGCTTGCCTTAAGTAAGTGTGTAAGAGGACGTAATATGTAAATTGATAATTTAATAATTTTTTAGGGTTGAGGGTTTAGGGTGTAGGGTGTAGGGTGTAGGGTGTAGGGTGTAGGGTTTAGGGTTTAGGGTGTAGGGTGTAGGGTGTAGGGTGTAGGGTTTAGGGTGTAGGGTTTAGGGTTTAGGGTTTAGGGTTTAGGGTTTAGGGTTTAGGGTTTAGGGTTTAGGGTTTAGGGTTTAGGGTTTAGGGTTTAGGGTTTAGGGTTTAGGGTTTAGGGTTTAGGGTTTAGGGTTTAGGGTTTAGGGTTTAGGGTTTAGGGTTTAGGGTTTAGGGTTTAGGGTTTAGGGTTTAGGGTTTAGGGTTTAGGGTTTAGGGTTTAGGGTTTAGGGTTTAGGGTTTAGGGTTTAGGGTTTAGGGTTTAGGGTTTAGGGTTTAGGGTTTAGGGTTTAGGGTTTAGGGTTTAGGGTTTAGGGTTTAGGGTTTAGGGTTTTAGGGTTTAGGGT